TTTCCCTGAGTAACTGTTTCCTGGTTGCAAATGCCCAGGACATTATGGGAAAATACGGTTTGCATCTCCTCATCGTTCGCGTTTGGACTAAGGTATCACATTTCACTTTTTCAAACTTGTTTTCAAGTAGTTGGCATCTGACAACGTCCTTTCTTTCTTTTTTTCTTTTCATTTCCAACTTTTAGCCTAATTTAGGTAATAGTGTTCTTTGAGGACAGAAATGTTCTCTCATGTGTATTTTGTGTTTTATAGGCTGAGTACATTTAGATAATGTATTGTGTTGTTAGTAACCCTCTGAATTCCCTACAATGGGTCCTTAATCTGTTCTCTCAGATAGACCCAAGACTTGAACTCTTACAACAGCATTTACTCATCTTCAAATGACACACTTGGCAGACCATTGCTTCTTGCAGGAGCATGCCTTTTTAACATTAGGTCCTTAGTGATTTCTGATAAATAGTACAATACTTTCATTATTCATTGAGCTCAGAAAACAATTGAAGAGAAACGAATGTCTATAATTAAAATGCACCTCCCATAATCATAGACGGAGGGACTAGAAACTCTGGATGTGATAGAAGTACTATACTTGCACTACAGAATTCTTGCTTCATGAAAGAGAAACTTCTTAGTTGTTAAATTATTTATTGAATGCAGTCTCAAATATACTTGTTTAATGAAAATGGAAGATTTTTGTGATCATTTTGTAATCATTTTTCTTGACTGAAAACATGGCCTTTACAGTATCATAGGAGATGGTACATGTAGCATATACTTTACCTCATCTGGAAAGTAGAAAGGCAAGGTATCTTAGGTAAATGAAATGTATTCAAGCAGCAGTTCTTCAAAAACGAGAAGTGTTTGAATTTAAAAACATTGAAATGAAGCAGTTACACTGTAATATATCATTGTGTTTCTATGAGGAAAAAGTCAGGTTTTCTTGGTATTTTAGTTGATTAGGATAAATATTTCTTTACAAATTAAATCTTAGCTTTCTGAGCCCATGTGAATCATGTGCATATATGGTGGTGCTTTCACAATTATGGCACACTTTTGTACTGCAATATTGAAGCATTGCAATCTAGTACCTGTGCCCAAGCACTGCACTTAAAATATCATAATGGTTAAAAGCACAAGCTCCAGATCAAGGCTGCCAGGATTCAAATCCTGGCTTTACCAAGATTTACAACCTTGGGCAAATCTCTAGACCTCTGTTTTCTCACTGTAAGATAGGACTGATTACCTCAACCAAGGACTAAATGAAGTCTTGCACGTTATGCTCTTGACATACGGTAAGCACATTATTATTACTTTTATTATTATATTGCTAAAGAACTTGCATAGAATATTACTAAAATTGCTTGTTCTTTTTTCTGCCTGCTCCAAGGCTTCTTTGCATATAGATGTTAGAATAAACTAATGAACAAACTAAGAAATATCATTTTCAAAGGTGATTAGGTGATGCTTCCAACCTCATTTACCCTCTGAGTTTGGTGAGGTCTGTGGGATATTGTGGTAGATCGCATTATTTTTCCCAATTATTTAATCTCTCCCTGTAAGGGGTTTGGGCATTCACACCTTCTGCCATGTGACTTTGCAGTTCTCCCTATTATAGCAGATGAAGGAAAATTCTCACTCCACTAATGTTGGCTCACTCTGGCTAATGGAATGTTAAGAGGTGTGACATAAACAGAGACCTTAAAAGCATTTGCGTGATTTAGCTTGCTTTCTTGTATTTCTGCCACCTGCCATGAGAAGAACATGCCTGCAGGGAGCCACAGTTCTCGGAATTATGAAGATTTGTGGAGCAGACCTGAACCTAATACAAAGCCTAGTCTGGCCTAGCACAGCTAAGCCCTACAACTAATTGAGAAAAATTAATGTTTATTGTTATAAGATACCGAGTCTTCTATAGTTGTTTCTTATGTAGTTGTACAGAAAAGAGTTAATATAGCAGGCCCAAACTGCTATCCTCGAAAAGGTTTTCTTGCAAGGCTGGCCCTTGGCTGGCTTCCGGGAACTTGGATTTGGGGATGGTTGCTGCCGTTAACTGATAAGAATGATTCATTGTGCCTGAACTGTTGGTACAAACAATATGGTTTATGTTGAACACCTGCTTTCCTTCGGGGAGGCTGGAATTTTGGCAGATGCTAGGCAGAGAGCCTGCCTACATGACCAGCTCCCAGTAAGATCCCTGGGTGCTGAGTCTCTAAGAGTTTCCCTGGTTGGCAGCATTTCACATGTGTTGTCACAACTTGTT